TGCTGATAATTTGAGCCGCTACACCCACGTTTTTCCTTTGGCGTGCTTATTGTTAGTAGAAGGTGGTGGTCGAATCGGGTGTTGTCCATTCATTGACCGTAATGCTGCTGAAGCCCTCACGTCCTACAAGTTTATCACTCTTGCTACCGTGTTCACACTGTTGATAAAAATTGCTGACGCTTCAAATTTTTTGTTGCAGAACTTTCCTTCCAACCTAATACTATAGGCTACAACATTGAAAAGGGCCACCCATGTTGGAACTTTAAACCACTGGTAGTGGCCCATGGCGACAAAGGAAAGGAGTTTTGGACATTTTCAGCTTTATGTAGTCAGCTCTCCGCGCAATTGCAACAACTGAAATCTCGTCCAAATCCTACCCATCCCTTTTCCTATGATAGTCTCGTACGACTTCTATTTTCACTACTTTCGAAAAGCTTCTCCAAAAATATCATGAACTTTGCCTTTGGTATTAGTGATTCAAAGGAAGTGATTGTTATTTCAGACGCTTTGAATATGCAAATTTGACCACAATCGAACAATGATACCATTAAGAAGTCGGCGGGTGCAAGATTGTTGATACGGCGTCGTTTCTTCCTTTATTGCAAAAGGTTCCAAATGAAACGCCTGCTGTTCTTTTTTTACCCGTGCCGATTAAGTGTTATTTTGCCAATTTTTGAATTCGTGTACTCTGTTTATAGAAATTATGCAGCTTTTATTTTTTCTTAATTTCAGAGTATTGCATGCATGTATCATTTGCTCAGTTACTACTTTGATATCTCCTTTTACGGGATTGAATTTTCGGATTTTTTATGAAGAATTTACTTTGCTGTCAGTGCATCAAGGTGTCCACGATACGAAGCTTTGATCTCAGTGACAACCTGACTGGTGCTTAGTTGGACGTCCCTCAAGAAAGCATAAACATTATACTTTTGACATCAGTTTGCATGCGTATGTAGCCTGTAATATGGCTTTCCTAAGAACATATACTTTAAAGTTGATTACTTGTTTTTCTAGTGAAGCTGGTTACCGAACACCTGCTTCAGTGGGATAGATTGCTCGGTTAAGCCGTGATTGAGCAAAAATATGAAAACCTACATATTGTGGCGAGGAATCTTGATCAAGACATAACCACGCGGTGGTTAAGCATTTTCCAGTCAGTTGAATAATAGTGTATGCTGTGCCTGTTCAAATAGGTGTGACGTAGGGTGATTGAAAAGGTGTTCCACCAGTAGCGGAGGGGAGTTCCTAGCGCTCTCCAACAAGAGAATTCTCGTTCAAATCATGCTCGAAATGAGCACTACCATGCCATCTCAAAAAAGGAAACAGCGGTTTTCCTTGTCAGATGAATGTGCACATAGATTCTTTCCAAGGTAATAGCGAGCTATCAAGGATTTAGGGGGAATTTGTACAGTGTCGTGTCACGTCATCGGATATCCTAGGGCCTAATCCCGGATTGAAACCGCTTTGACCGACCAAACATTTCATCTCTCCGTGTCGATTAATTGGTTCCAGAATCGTCTAGGAGGATAAATTAATGGCTCACCTACACATCGGTTTGCCAGTGCAAGTCATTGTATAGGCCACATACCCATTCAAATTGCCTCCACGATTTCTACTGAAACTCAGCAGCGCAATACAACACTGTCCTTCAGACTTTATCACCGACGTAAATAGGGCTCGCTTGACTTCGATTCGCTTGACTATTGCTCTATGACATTCAGAAAAAATTCACCCTTTTTTCTGAATTGTAAATTTCGCTCGTTTCTAAGTATTCAAACGGCAGCGCTCGCGTACATATTTTTAGAAGCTCCTTCCTTCCATGAATGAAAAATCCTGCAATAAGGCTCCGATCCTGAAACCACTCAATTTTCGAGGCGTTTCTAACATTCCTTCAGGTTTGGCCGATTTTTTGGTGTTATTCGTAGTGTTCCTCTATGGGACCGGTCACTCACACCTCAACCTCTCTATGAGAGAAACCAGACTTACGTAGCCGATATAACTCTACAAGTCACACACAAGTGAGCATTGAATGATCAACCGAACTCACATTCAACCCTATTGATTCCAAATGAAGAAAAGTGCATATCGCACCCCAAAAGATGCATCAACACTGGACACTTCTTTACTTCAATCCAACGACAACTAATGATCTTCTTGAGTAAACACAAGCATTGGCTAACACATGCAAGTCGAGTTCCGGCCACTTGAAATTCACAAACAGTGACGAGACCTACGTGTGCACGCTCTCACCACTTATCTCATCTGATCGATTAACCATGAGATTTCTAATGCTTGCTCATGAGTTCTATGTACTAGTCTGTAATCATGCACATATTATTGACATTATTGAATGCCCTCTTCGTTGACGGATCTGCACGCTTTCACCTTTTAGAATGCATTTCAAGGCATTACTTACCAACGAGATTGTTGTAGCAATGTCTCCCACCGCGATAGCTTCCACCACTTTGGTATTTTTGACGTGGAAGTGAATGTGCACCCTGATAAGATACTGTGTAAATGTAACTTTCTTTTTTCCAAAGAAAAGTGTCCACCACTGGGAAATTAGCAGTCGAACATGTGTTATTGTACAGGGTGGGCCAAAATTATGATTGCAGCGCGCGCTGACGCTCATAACGATTATTTTTACGAGGGCAGAGCAACTCGTTTGCTTTCTTCTATTTCATAAGGTAGTTTACATTATTACCTTCCTGATGGTACTAAACAACTGGTAGATTTTGGAAATAATGTAACCGTAATTACCCCGAGAATAAATCGTCACTTCGCATTTACAAGCACTTTTGGCNAGCGTCCATTAGCCCAAACAAGAAGTGAAATAATCTCGAAAATGCCTTGCAAAAAGCCGGGATCAACTCGATGACCTTAGCTGCGTGCCACCGTCAATGCCGCCCATCGTCGTCTCTGGGGTTGGGTGAAAAAAGAAAGCAACAGATCCCAGTGTCAAGGTACTACTTTGATAAGAGATTAGTGATAGACACTTCCATGAAGTTAGTTTGCTTTTTGAGCTTTCTATCCGTTCCCGGGGATGAGATATCTGTGTGATCATAATTTTGGCCCACCCTGTATGTACATATAGCTGGATATCAAGAGTACCTCAGTATAGCTTTACCTGCTTTATGTGCATAACACAGCCTTTACCAAAGGTTATTCTGATCGTAGTCATGCACCTTTCAATTCATGATATGGAATCTGCATGAATCCTTATTGCGAGGCTCATCGTAATGGTCATTTGTTCCAAGAAGCTTCAACTCATCACTGCTGTGTTCTCTTCTTAGACTAGGCTTTAAAAAAGAACATTCAGGAGGCTCGGCTTCACACGAGAGTTATATTTTGGCTGAGATATACCTCAAACTATGGCAATAATACGAAATCATCTTGGCAGATCCTTTTCCATCCATTTATACATATTCTCCTCATCCCATTATTGTGGATGTAATTTCCTGAATTCAAAACTTATGGAGGTATGCAAGATAAAATACGTGAGATTTGCTTTTTTGATTCATAAATTCCTAACCCAGCATGGAAAACTTAGGTTGCTTAGGTTAAGAAAGGAAAGAAATATTTATGTGATAAGAAGAAAGCTTTCAGGAGACATACCTCATTATCCGCTTTCTGTCTGGCTTGGCTCAGTATACCGGGATGATATAGAGGATGGAGGCTTTTATAGTTAGTCAAACTAGCTTTGAAATACTTCATTCGACTTCCACTTATAGACAAAGGNGTCGATACTACATATCGCATTGGGAAACGCACCTCGAGATTCATTATATGGGTTGAGCACCTCAAAACAACAATGTTCACTAATAAGGAAGAACTCAGGCACGTTCCTACTTATGCTGTCCATGCAAAGGTGAACTAAAAAGTTCCTCGCCAGTCAGGGTTTTCCGTTCAACTGCCGGCTTACAAAAGGACTGAGTCAATCTTTACGATTTTACTTTTTGCTCATAATTTCCTTTCTCCTTGAAGAATTGCTATGTTGAGAGAGAACTTTTTCTCGTAAACTGCTTTAATATGGCATCGACTGCAGTCTCGTAGCACAATTTCGTACTCCAGCATATCATCTGCTAGTGTCCATCACGTTTATCACTGATTTCCTCGAGCGAGAGACAGTAATTTCATTTGTCCCTGTCGCGAGCCAGTTTGGTACAGCGGACCCGAGGCAAAGCATTTCTTCCGTTAAGCGCTATCCTGACGAAGCCTTCCCATTTCGCTGTCGGCCGTCTGAAGTTCTTTTGACATTTCGAGGGACTCATTCAGTAGGAGCCCTCGTCCAACATATACAATACCGCAATTAGAAGGTGGGCCAAAATCATGATTTCACGGATATCACACTCTCGAAAGCGAATAGAAAGCTAATAAAACGAACCAATATCCAAAAAATGTTTGTTTCATCACTAATCTCTCATTAACATACTACATTGTAGCCAGCCAAGTCCTGCTGCCTTCTGCTTTCACTGAAGCCCGAAGACGACGATAAATGGAATCAACCGCGGCACACAGCTAGTATCAACGAGTTGTCCACGGCTTTTTGCGGAGCATTTTGGAGACTATTTCAGTTCTTGTTCGAGCTAACGCATGCATTTACTTCCAAGATTAACCACGTTAGGAGATCCACGGAATCCAGGTCAGGACTCCAAAGTGGGCACAGATCGGAGGTTATCAAGTTGGCCAACTCTTCCTACGAGATTCCTGAACAATTTCGGATCAGGAGCTTCATCATGACAATATGTCGATGGTGATGCCCGGAAGACCTTTCACGAAGGTGAGCGGGCCTTACGCTGTATCACTTCCTTTCCTTTCAACTCCGCTTAAATTCTGTCGTTCTGCTTATTGAGAGCATTTTTCACGGTGTCTTCTCGTTGGTGATCAGGAGTTCCGATTCTAACGATTTCTTCTGAACGGTATAGCTGTTGAAGTGAGCTGTTCTTTCTCTTTTCTTTAGCCTGCTTCCAGAAGATAACTTTCCAATCGTGTATGGGTCTTGTTGTGCAGGTGAATTTTCATGATTTTATGAAGGAACTTCCATGTGATATACATTTGTTCAGCCATTTTGCAGGCAGAGTGAACTTCACTGCTACGCAGACCTTCGCCTTCTCTCCTCAATGCTCCTCTTGAATGTGATCGTAAGCTTCTTCTTTCTACTCCTCCGATGTACAGTTGTTCCCAACACTTTGAGCATCTGATGGTCGGATACATCAGCCGTCTTGTTCCAATGAGTCGTCTAGAGATGTGCCGTGCCAAAAGTACTCGTAAATTGAAAGTATTGACTGCTTCAAAAGGTAGTGACGCCTTCATTATTTTTAAAAACTGCCAAACGTTCGGTATCGTTCGTTCGGTATGAGGGAGGAAATAATGTAATCTACCTTGTGGAACCCGAAAAACCGAATAAACTATTATAGGCTCTGAAAAAAGGTATGAGCGCCTGCGTGCGCTGTAATCATAATTTTGGTCCACCCTGTATATCACCAAACTTTGACTCCTTGTGATGATAACTGCATGCTCATCCTGCTTTTTCAGAGTCCAAGTCTCTATGTACTGATAGAAACACCCTGGTTGTCGAAGGCTTACTGCCTCTGTCTCTGTTATGTCAAAAGCCTCCCCCAGGTCGAAGAACGTCAATCGTAACGGCACCCTGCATCCTCGCAGTACTTCAGCGATTTTGTGACGGTGTCGATGTGATCGATCGCACTGAACCCTTTCCAAAACATTCCATGCTCGCATGGGCATTTCGGGAGAAAGAACTGAAGAAACGAAAACTATGTTTTCCAGGGCGGTAAGAAGGCAGGCAGACGTAACTATTCAGAAGACCCGAGCAAAGGTCATAAATAACCTTCGCATCAGACTTTCGGATGCAGTCAGTGATCGGTCGGGGACAAAGAGAAGTCATTTTGATCTTGCAATTGACGGAGTCCGGCGGGCTTTGCTAATGCTTCTTAGTCTCGGCGCCTTCGGTCAGAAGAGCTGCTCTCCTCTTTTTACTTATCTAGTTTCTGCATAGATTTTCAAGTTGGGAGTCAGTTCATGATTGCCTCCAACCCACGCGATTTTACGGTGGCGGATCAGCTGGAGAGTTTTTGAAAGGTGGTAGTATTTTGGCAACCGTGGATTCTTTGCCATAATAGCAATATCGTGATGGTATTGAACGAGACAAACATTCTTCATCGATGTTGTTGATAGCGGAATCTTCCCATAAAGTGGCAGGAGGAATGGAGATCCCATGTCTTTGAGCTTCTTTTCTTAGACTTTGCAGCTCTCCCTTCACGCATCAGAAATTAGAATCTAGCGTAGAAGAAACGATGGTTCGATCACGTGCAGAACTTCGAAACAGAACAGCGACGTCAGCCGGGCGATATTCTTATTGAAAATTCACCCGGTTATGGTCCAACGTAAATGAAATAGCTTTTGAAGTTGTGAATTACCGTTGATGTAGTCGATCGACAGGATAGCTCGAACAGCTTTCCACCGTGCTTACTCCATTTCATCCCATGAGTCCCAACGTAAAGCTCTTTAGCCGCTCTTCTGCGACTATCCTTGGCGTCAAAATCACCGGCAATAACATTAGTGTGGTTCTTCCTGAAAAGCACTTCTGGGTCTATACAGAACGCTTCCAACTCCTCTCCTCTGTAGTTTGGAGGCACACTTCGAAAAGCGGAACACTGGCTGGGGCCTCTTCTCGTCCATAGCAATCGTCTACAGGGTGGGCCAAAATTATGATGACACGGATATCACTTCTCGGAAGACGAACAGAAAGCTAACAAAACAAACCAATTCCGAAAAGAGTTCATCAGTAATCTCTTATTGGATATTACATTGAAGCTGAAATCTGTTGCTTTCTGCTTTAATTCAAGCCCGGAGACGACGGTAGAAGGCGTCGACGCTGGCACGCAGGTAGGATCAACGCATTGATCCTGGCTTCTTGCAAGGCATTTCGGGAATACTTGTTTAGGCTAACACATGCTTTTACTTCCAAAGTTAACCACACTGAGAATCCATAGGATCCAGGTCAGGGCTCTTAAATTGCCACTGATCAGAGGGTATGAATTCTTTGGACTCCTTTCGTGAAACTCCTGGACAATTTCTGATTTGTCGTCAAGGGTTCCCCTTCAACAAAATGTCCGGTATGATTCGCCAAAGCGTCTATGGCACACGGTGGAATCAAACAGCACTCCAAATCAACTTTGACTCCATAATTTACAAAAATAATCGGCGTCTCTGCCTCGGCGGTGATGCTCGCAAAGTCCATCACAGAAAGTTAGTGAGCCTGGCGCTGTATCACTTCCATTTCTTGGAGCTTCATGTAAATCCGTCGCTCTGCTTAGTGAGCACTCTTTCACCGTAAATATCTTTTCGTCGATGAACAGGAACTCCTATGACGATTTCTTCGAAAACAGCGTAGCAGCTGTTGCAGCCAACGTTGCTCTTCTCTTTAGCCTTCTGGATGGGGAAGTCACTTTCTGATCGTATGAAGGCCTTGTTGTGCTAATGATTTTCCACGATCTTGCGCATGTCCCGTGCCAAACGTGCTTGTAAATACAATGGGAGGATGATTCATAGAGTGGTAACGTTTCCATTATTTATAAAATCTACTAAAAGCTCAGTATCACTGAGAAAGAAGTAATGTAATCTATCTTGTGGAAGGGAAGAAACCGAAAGAAATGTCATGAACTCAGAAAAAGTTCGATATGAGCGTCAGCGCGAGCTGTCATCGTAATTTTGGCCCACCCTGTAGTTCAGGTTTTAAGCTTTCGTACGAATCGATGTTCGTGAATAAATACGTGTAAACGACAACACCTACACTCTACTATCGCATGTNAACGTGCTTGTAAATACAATGGGAGGATGATTCATAGAGTGGTAACGTTTCCATTATTTATAAAATCTACTAAAAGCTCAGTATCACTGAGAAAAAATAATGTAATCTATCTTGTGGAAGGGAAGAAACCGAAAGAAATGTCATAAACTCAGAAGAAGTTCGATATGAGCGTCAGCGCGCGCTGTCATCGTAATTTTGGCCCACCCTGTAGTTCAGGTTTTAAGCTTTCGTACGAATCGATGTTCGTGATTAAATACGTGTAAACGACAACACCTACACTCTACTATCGCATGTTCCAAGAGAAAATTCTCCTTCAGTGTCGAAAACGGAGTGTAACCTGCAATACACTCTCGTCTCGGTCATTCCGATGACGTCGTACTTGATCTTCCTAGCTTGCGTGGTCAGGTTTGCAATACCCGCTTCCGATGCAGGCGTTCGTACATTGAAAGAACAGATCGCCATCTTCTGCCTTCTCCTGCATTCTAAGATTCAGGGTCTCTCCGTAGCGGCCCTATGCAGTGGGGACTTCCACCGCTTTAGGGGGATAAGGCCCATTAATGTTTCTATTTTCACATATGGGTATCCGAAGAATGTTGGCAGGCTTTGACGTTGGGGTTGCGTAGAGCCGCATAGCCAGTCAGGTTACCTCAGATTTGACAAGGAGTTAAGTTACTGGGAGACGGCCTGTCCCATCTGCGAATTACTTCTCATTCACTCAAATGCGAGGTTCAGGCCGGTGCGAGGTTCCAAGGTGTAAATCAGCACAGCTCAGCAGGAACAGGAATTCCATCCTCTGAACCCCCCTGCATCGCAAGCACGTGTGGCATTTGGCACACGATTTACTCTCTCTCATATTCACCTCTTTCATTCACCTGGGCTAGTGCCACGTAACCTCGTTACCAACTGGCTAGAGACCATTAACGAGAGAGAGAACACTCAGTAAAGGAGATACGTTGGGGCCCTTCATATTTTGCAAATTTGAACACATGAAACAAAAACATCTAACGGTACTATACCGCGTCCGACTGAGTCCGCTATATGATGGTGATTTGGTTTCATGGATTTGTGATGTGATTTGCGAAACCTCACACAAACGTCACAGATGAAGTGCCTTATCTCCAATTTGAATTTTTTGGTAGCAGTGTTTATGACTACCGTCAACTTCCTGATCCACACTTCCTCTCGCACCTCCACTTGGGCATGACATTGCACTCATTCCTTCAACTCCTTCTCTGAAAATTCTATCTCATACACAGCAGGGTGACGACCTGCCAGTTATGGACACCCACATCCATGTATACTTTTCAGTTCACCTCCTCTCCTATCTAGCGAATATCACTTGTTAATAGAGTTTGTTGAAATTGAGGGTACGCTCGTAATGAAAAGTGCTACGAGCTCATTCTCTTGCACATTATATTGCGTCTACATTTTCTACTCCCACTGGTTTCCTTTGTTCACAAGCCAAAATTTTAAATAATGATACCAACCGTCATGTATCATAATAACTGTCATCATGGTAGGGACAGGTGCTAGAAATCGCTGTCAAAGTTCAAGCCAAATATATCCAAAAAGCAGAGTCAACTCGCTGCGCTCGCTCATAGCGGAAAATTGTCTTCCTCTAGAATTCATTCGGAACTCTCACTCATGCTCGTTCTGGTTAACTCTTCATCAAAAGGTTTACTTGCGATGAAGGTCCTGAATTTTCTCTGTACAAGAAGCGGTTACCGCTTTTCGCTTGTTACGCGACATATTGCGCTTTCTATTGAAGGGAAGATATTATTTTTGGAATAAAACTTACGGTGTGCTCGTTGCAGTATAAAGGCTTTTTGATATACGTACAGCTTCTTTGAAAAAGGCTATGGCATACATGATTTGCACATAAGGAAACAAGGCGAACCATCTGATATGGACCTCCCACAAAATTATTTTGTGCAGCTCTTTATTCCTATCATTTTTATATTAATTGATTTCGGGTGGGCAGGGCATCAACTGTTTCCTGAGATTTTGTTCGTAACCATGAATCGAACTGATGGGGACGATTTGTGATTATCAAATTGGCGTACTGATCAGAACCATATCACATCACAGTGGACAGGAATCACTAACATCGAAATAAAGCTACACGCCCAAATACTTTACTCAATGTTCAAACCTAATCCACCCCCATGATTTGTCCCTAAATCTTCGGAAAAGATGACCTAATTGAGAATGAATTCCATCGTTGAGCGAGAAGCTCTGATTGCAGTTGGTAGGGTTGAAACTTGACGTCTTCTATCAAACTCACTTTCTAATCGCAAAATTAGGTTCTTTTTTCGCCACAAACCGAGATTCTTAAGATCCTCACAAACATTCACACACTTCAGGTGCTTTTCGATGGCTTTCTTACATTATTTTGAAGATCACCATTTAGACTAGGCGTGTATCACAACAAAAATTGTTTCGAATAGCGTTTTTAACTTTTTGATCTGAGCTTCACACATTGAGATGCATTTGAGCTAGGGCATGATCGAATTATGTGGAACCAGTGTAGAAAATGTCACTTAGTTTGGAAACGCTTTTCCCAACAGTGATGGGTCTCCTTCAATTCAAATGCTGACCCTTTACTCATCTCTGCACAATTTCCTGCTGTCTGAGCTGTTCTGGAGCTATAATAGGAAGTCGCCCTTGGTAGTCGCTCATTCCGGTCCTACGCCCTCGTGTGTGGGCTCTGCTCAGATGTGCTATGTTAATCTTGTCCTACACCCATTCCATCTTAAACTTGACCTCTACGGGTGATTCCTTAGACGCATTATGTGTATTAACGATAGCCTCAACCATTCTATGGATTCTAAAACGTTTTTAAAAGTGTTATGAATTTTAAATCTCAACCGCCCACTATGATTTGATCACGTTTCTCTCTTAGAATTCGACTGCATTCCATCAGTAGCCTCTACTCACTTTTTCCTTACTCTAGAATGTTTCTGTACGAAGTTATGGAGAAGTTTTCTGAAAAGTACTTTCCATTTGAGTGCAGGTCGCGCTCATAGTAGACAGAGGTTCGCTTAGTCAACGATGCCCAGTACAGATTAGGTCTTTCTCGCACTTTTTCTCTGATCTCCACGCTTTTGTTGAACAAAGTTATGAATTTACGTAGAAAATACGAAAATGTGAGAGCGCTCCCCTACCGGTGTCTCATTCATTTCATTTGTTGACCCATCTCTTACATATGCTCATTTTTCCCGGCGTCTTGGCAGTGATGAAAAAATTAGGTTCTGTTCGTGGAGCTGCCCACTCCTGCCCATGACCTTCCTGTGATCGGGGCTCACTTGTGCTTCTTGCTCACAATGTAACCCATCCCAAACTTGACCCAGCCTGTCCAGTTGCTTCTTCACGTAATATTGAATTTCGTGAAAGACAAACAAACAAACACGCGGACGGGAGCAAGGTTATATATAGAAAAATAAAAAGGGTGAATAACACGACTTATATAATGGAAAGTTTTTTCAGATAAATACTTACAAATAGTAAAAATTAGGCTGCTCAGAGTGTGGGATCTGATTCATTCCTCATTTTGCAGCAGACTATCAGGTAGCATCACTACTCGTTGTTAGTGCAGGATCTATCCTACACCTGAGTTATTGAGACGAATGAATTGGAACAAATGCGAGACACCTTCCCTGCTGTCTTTATTAAGTGCTGAATGAGTGTTTTCTGAAGCTCTCGAGTACTGTTTTGATCAGTGAGCTTTCTGCATTTGATGCTTTCTTCAATTCTTAAAGTTACAATAATTATATTAGGTGTGTGCATTAATTTCCGCCGCTGAATTCCAAGGGCCGTTGCGCGAAGCATGTTAGAGGTTTACCATTGAAACCTGTCATGTTCTGTAAGGTGGGGTGTTGGCTATCTACTTAAGGGCAGACAGATCAACTTTTCCCCAAAATCCTGTTGCTCTCAGACTGATTGGTCATGGAACGTG